ATTAGCAGGAATTCATCCGTGGGTGAGGGAGGGGGCAGAGTTCCCACATCCACTGTGCAGTTTCTTGCACTTTCCTTGAAATATCAGCTGCAAGCTCCTGATCGAGGCAGTAGCCAGGCTACATTGAATGAGGAGGTCTGATCCAGCACGGCAAGTCTCATGTTTACTCCTAACACATAACCTTCACTGTCACCCCAGCAGCACTTTGCTTGCGGAAGGTACTCCCCCCTTTGATGAATGCTTTCTCGTACATTCTTCCTCCTTCTTCCTTTCGTCCTAGCCATCTCCCCATTTCCTCTTAATGCTTTTGGTCCAAATCCCACCAAAAGCTGTTGAGATTTCCCCAACTATGCTATTCATTTTCTTCCAGCTTAAAAAAACCCCAAAAAAACCAAGCCTGTATTTTAGGAAGCAAAACCTACTCCAAAAATAGGAGCTTGAATGTTTTTCTACCCTCCTTTGAGGCCAGGCTCACCCAGTGCACATCTTCTCTGTCTTCAGCCCCAAGCTACCTGCAGGGACATCCCCCAGCTGTATCTGCTTCTATTTTGCGTGGATTGAACGGCGAGAACCTAGCAGGCACTGCCAGCGCATCCTGCTGCGGGACTCAGCTTTCTTCCTCTCTCCCAGCCGTCTCCCTCAGCCTGTCAATCCCCAACCTGCTACAGCAAGACTGATCCTTCCCACTCGCCATCCGTCCTCTTCACCAGCCTGCCCCTGGGATCTTGCCACCGCCCGTCCCCAGGTGCAGCCTGCCTGTGCCCGGTGCCCTGCCTACAACAGCAGCCCCTACTGCTGCCTCAGCCCAGGCTGGCACAGGGAGGGGGGCTGCCGGTGCCATAGGTCAGCTCAGCACCGCAGTGCCCCTGTCCTGACCCCTGCATTCAGCACCCCGCACCCCCGCCCTGCCTGCTCAGGACCCGCCCCCCCTCCCCCAGCAACCGGGCTCGGCCCCGGGGCTCCCGCATGCAACGAGGGCGGCACTCACAGCCCATCCCGGCCGGCGGAAGCCATTTTCTGCCGGGACCATCTGCAGGAAGGAAGAAAACAGCCCCCCCACCCCGCCGCTGTGAGTGACAGCGCGCGGGCCGCCCCCAGCCCCCAACCCGGCGGACAGCGCCGCCCCGCCTCCGGGGTGACGCATTCACTGCCTCAGCCCCGCCCCCGGGGTGATTGGCAGGGCCGGAGACCTGCCGCGTCACACTGCGCAGGGAGTGACGCACAGGCACCGCCCACCCCGTCTGACTGACAGCGCCAGGCACCAACCCGCGCGATTGCCAGCGGCCCCGCCCTGTCGGGGCTCACCCCAGTGGCAGCGAGACCCGGCCCCGGGCCGCCCTGCAGCGGCATCATCCTCCGTCGGGCATCCCGGGCGCAGAGCGGTCCCCACAGCCCTCCAGAGGGCCCTGCTGGCCCGTGCTCCGCCGGGCGGCTCCTGCAGCTCTCGGCCCTGCAGGGCTGGGCAAGTCCTCACGCGGGGGGGGCCGCTGGCCCGGCGCCGCCCGCACAGGCTCGTTCAGGAGATGTCACTGTAACACGTTATAGGTGAAAAATCGTGAACTAAAACCCAAACATCCACCGTGACACATTTTAATTTTGCTTCAATAAATATGTTGTGTCCTGGTTTACCTTGTTCTGAGTCGTGTGTCTAGAGGCGATTGCATCATCACTCACAATAAAGTCTAACCCTCGTGTACTGTGCGGGGCGGGAGGTTGTGCGTGGTGGTGGTGCAGAAACGCCCGCAGCCAGGTCCCAGGAGCTGCTGGGGAGGAGGGGGCCCGCGCAGCAGAGCTCACCCAGGCGGTGCAGTGCGGGTGCAGGTGCAGTTCACTGCCCCCATGGTGCTCCCTATAGAGCCAAGCCCTGCCCACTCCTACTAGGGGCAGCCTGTGCCGTGCTCCTGCCTGAATTGGCCCAGGCCCCAGCCCCAAGCAGCATGCGCAGCTTTTTGGCACGGCTACGCCTGGTGTGACAGCAGCTGCCCAGGTACTACTCAGCTCCTCCTGCCTCCACTGGCTTGTCCTCCTGCCCGCGCTGCGCTGCTCCGGGCAGGGGGAAGCTGCAGGTGGCTGGCTCCTGCCCCAGCTCACAGGACTCCAGCTCCAGCTCCCAGCTGCCTTCTACCCAGTTGGTCACCCACAGGTGGCTGCTCATCGTGCGGGCGGGAGTGAGAGCAGGAGCTGAAGCCCTGCACACAGGGCTGGAGCCACCTGGCTGCAGCTTTGCCCCCACCCCTCAACCTGGTTGGGCATCTGCTGCCCAGCATGCATCCGCACAGCCACCGTCACTTCTCCATACAAACTGCCCAATACTAACTCACTTCCCCATACTAACAGGGGCAGGAAGAGGCAAAAGAGGAGCCAGTGGAGGTGGGGAGAGCTGGATTTAATGGAGTACCTGAGTTGCCTGAGAAGCTGTGCATGCTGGCCAGGTTAGGATGGGCGGGGGTGTGGCACAGGCTACCCTGGGCAGAAGCAAGGAGGCCTCAGCCCCATGTGGAGCCATGGGCTGGATACAAACAATTGGCAGGCACTAGCCTATGGGCCAGGGCCAGTCAGCTGGCAGGTCAGTCCAGCCTGCAGGCTCTGTTTTCCCCACTCCTGTCTTAACCACTGGATTGTCTGCACTTTAGCACTTTAGCACCTTCTTTCCATTTCTGACATTCCTTGCCCGCCCCTTTTAGAAAAGTCATGTGTCCCAGCAGCAGGAATCTTGAGCTAAACCCAAACTGCTCATTTAACCTGCTCTCCATCAGAAATTAGCAGGAATTCATCCGTGGGTGAGGGAGGGGGCAGAGTTCCCACATCCACTGTGCAGTTTCTTGCACTTTCCTTGAAATATCAGCTGCAAGCTCCTGATCGAGGCAGTAGCCAGGCTACATTGAATGAGGAGGTCTGATCCAGCACGGCAAGTCTCATGTTTACTCCTAACACATAACCTTCACTGTCA